TATTTGATATATTAAATAATTGTCTATGTACTGCTTTTCTATGTCCTAATAAAAATATAATTACTAAGATGATGTTGTTTGAGTCTTGTTTATTAATTTGATGGATTTTAATAAAACTTTTATATATATAATATAGGCTTAACTAAATATATATACTAATAGATTAAGTATAAGTGAAAAATATTGGCTTAATATTTAAAATTAAACGAAGGCCTAAATAGACTAAAGGATTATAATTACTGTTGTTTATAATTATTATTGATGTGTAGGCCTAATTTAAGTAATATTCTCCCAAATAAATATTGTTTAATGATGAAGAACTGATTGAAGAATTATAATCTGACTACCGGTGCACACAATTTTTAACGTAATAAATAAAACTTAAAATCAAGCCTTGGTCACTACATAAACCTTTTCAAGTTTGGTTATAATTATAATCTTTTCTTAATTTTTTTTGGGTAAAATGATTTATTTTAAACTTCTTATAATATTCAGATGTTTAAAGTTTAAGTATTTTAGAAAATAACAGATCACTGCATAATTGACAGTGATGATAGTCATTTCCGGTTTCTTGATGAAAAAAAAATTAATTAATTTTGGGACATTTTCGTACCCCCACTCCATTGGGAGATGCATAACTTTTCAGGGGCAAAGTCATGATAATAACTCAAAAAAGGAAAAAACTCATACAATGAATGTAGTTCGCACTCAACTTCAACTAAACCATTTTTGCCTAAAATTACGAACAAAAAAGTTTTTTGGGTGATTTATATACCTACCGAGTCATTATAATAATACTGTCCGTGATACACAAAAATTATATCGTTGCATAAATCAATATATCACTGGAACACAAAAACTGATATGTCAGTGATGAGAAAAGCAATTATTTAATAAACAAATGTGACGTAGTATGCAATTTTCCAATGATACCGTGTAGCCGTACGCCATATTGTAGAACACATGTTTTCGACATTTTAGGACATGTGCAGAACCATGCGTGGACAAGTATCATTATCCCTAATTCAAAATAACATTTGGTTTATTGGAAGTGTGAAGTGTTTGAAGTTTTAGTTTTAAATTTAATGGAAATGTGAAATAATGTATAATAATTTTTGAATGGGAGTCGCTTAGTCACTTCCTTGTTTGGTCACGTGATGTGAGTAAGCCATCACTAGGCTGCTACACACAACAAAAGATACTTCACCAGTGCTTCCCCAATGTCATGTTAATTAAAAATGTTACCTTTCGTAATATTATGGAATGCAAGCGTTTTTTAAATGAAATACATAAATGTGACAATAAATATACGTCAGTTATAATTAAAGGAAGAAAGTTATTTCAAGAAAAATTTGTGAGCGATATTCGATGGGAACTATCAATACTATTATCGGCAGGATGTTGTTGAGCTCCGTGCGTGCTCATGACGTCATTTGCGTTTTTATTCAATATTGATGCAGGAGTCATTCCCCTTTGTTTATTTTATTGTTAATTTTCATTGGAGGAAATGTAGTGTAGTTGTAGTGTGTATCTGGCTACTGTTGTCAAGCACTAGTGTGTTGTATACAGTATACCGGAAATCTTACTCGTTTTTACTCACATCACATGACAAAATAATTGACTAAGCGACTCCCATTAAAAGTTTTTTAAGCTAATTCAGATTGATCAGGTTTAGTGATCAGTGATACATTTTAGGGTTCATGTTAGGTTTAGGGATACATTTAGGGTTCAGGTTAGGTTTAGGGATACATTTAGTATGATTTAGGACATAAGTTCGTGGGTCACGATAACCAAGATGGCGGCCGCGGGCTGATCTCTCCCAATGGGAGTCGCTTAGTCACTTCCTTGTTTGGTCACGTGATATGAGTAAGTCATCACTAGGCTGCAACACACAACAAAAGATACTTCCCCAATGTTATGTTAATTAAAAATTTTACCTTTCGTAATATTATGGAATGCAAGCGTTTTTTAAATGAAATACATAAATGTGACAGTAAATATACGTCAGTTATAATTAAAGGAAGAAAGTTATTTCAAGAAAAATTTGTGAGCGATATTCGATGGGAACTATCAATACTATTATCGGCAGGATGTTGTTGAGCTCCGTGCATGCTCATGACGTCATTTGCGTTTTTATTCAATATTGATGCAGGAGTCATTCCCCTTTGTTTATTTTATTGTTAATTTTCATTGGACGAAATGTAGTGTGTATCGGGCTACTGTTGTCAAGCACTAGTGTGTTGTATACAATATACCGGAAATCTTACTCGTTTTTACTCATATCACGTGACAAAATAATTGACTAAGCGACTCCCATTGTTTTTTATTCAAAAGAACATTTGTTTTATGGGAAGTGTGAATAATAATAATTTTAGCGGTGAATTAAAATTGAAGTATCCACTTTTGATACCGGGTCCGAATAGCCGCAGCCAAACTTTTCATTACAACTACAGATAAGACAGTAGCCGATTTGCCGCCAACAACAAAGAAAAGGAACTTTGTTGATCTTGATTGATGTCGTTAATGATTATAGAACTATATTTAAAATAGAATTAAAAAATACTATATAATTATAAGCATAACGTATTCTTACTTGCTTTTAGCTTTACGTCACAATGTTCTTCGTGTTTCTTCAACGCGACCGGTTCATAACGGTCTTCAAAATATGGCAATGGCTCTAAGATGGCTAACCGGCTAATCAACAGGAAGTATCCGTCATAACCATCACGTGACCAACCGAATCTAATAAAGACCTCACGTGACCAGCTGGGTCTGAATAGCCATTTTCTGCTATAGGTACCCGGGTATCTATAGCCACTCCGATAGAAAATAGTTCGGCTGCCTATAAAACAAAATAGTCTGGGGCATACTTGGGCATGTGCGAAAAACAAATTAAAAAAGAGACCACTGGCTATAAAACTTTAAATAATAAAAAATAATAATCGCATGTTCTCTTTTTATTTTTATTGACTTGGTATTTTTCCCGGAAAAAGTCGGCTATATTTTTAATGTATCCACCGGAAATTCAATCATTGTGTCATGGCTACCTCCAGTAGTCAAAAAATGAATCCTGAATTAATCGACCAATTCGTCGCTGTCACAGGTTTGTGAAGTGTTCAAAACAAGTTTATTTATTCTTATACAAGCCAAGAACTGAAATTTTAACCGTTGCATGTTACTCTTTCAATTATAAAGAAGTGTTTCTCTAAATATTTTGACGTTTCTCGCCGGCAATGTCAATAATAATAATTTTTCTGAATTCTGTTCTCTAAAACGAGCTAAAACATTATTTGTACATTTTGAGACGTAAATAAAAAAAAAAAAAAAGAGAGTAAAGGTTAGACAAAGTTCAGCATCATCTTCATGATCAATAATAATAATTTTTCTGAATTCTGTTCTCAAAAACGAACTAAAACAATATTTGTACATTTTGAGACGAAAAAAAAAAAAAAAAAAAAGAGAGTAAAGGTTAGACAAAGTTCAGCATCATCTTCATGGCCCTTAGTCCTTGGACCGTTGGGGCGCCACAGATGACATGAAACTATCCTTCTCCATGGACATGGACCATTCCACTCTGTTTTCTGCAATTAGCACAACATCGCCTAGTTTTGTTCCCATCCACTCTTTGATGTTATCTGTCCATCTTTTTCTCTGTTCTCCTCTTCTTCTCCCTCCTCTCATTGTGCCCTGCATGATTGCCCTTCCTCAAAGGCTATAGGCAAATCTATAGTATAGCATAACTCTCGCTTGACCTTGTTGTCTTCACTTAACTTTCTTTCAAAATAATAATTATAGTATACTTGACTTGGCAACGAGGGAAATTTGTCATTTACTAATTTACTGTCTTTTAGACTTTTATTTAGTTTAGACAAGACTTTTCTTTTAGGCTTTCTCTTTTATTTTTGAAAGTTTTGTGCTTTTGCCTAAGTTTTGCTGTCTCCAACTCAGTTTTTATTTTTTATATTTCAGTACCTAGACCTAGGTCTGAAGACAAAAGATCTAATCATTAAATCATTTGCCTAATTATTTTATGCCATGACCATGTAAAAGTAATGAGTAATGTTCATGTTAATTTGATTTTGAAGTGTAGACGGAGGCTAGTTTGTTGCTTGCTTTTTCTTAAGTTTAATAAGTGGCTTAGGTGCTGCTTAGACTGAGGATAAAATTATGTGTAGGCTACAGATTACAGGGCCATAGCAAGCAAAAGCTGCACTTGGGGCATTGTCGAGATTTAGACGATATCATCCGAAGTGTAATAGTTATTAATAAACAAATTTTGCATGAAAAACTATTGATTTTGGCCCCTTCTGAAGGGTGCCCCATTTGGTGCCTTTGCATGGCACTGTGTGGCTGTGTATATGCTAAATTATTTATCAGCAAACATAAGCTAAGAAGGAGCAGCATTCAGTTCTTTAAATGAATTAAAGGGGCTCTATTATCTATACATTATTAAATATTATCTTGCCTAAATGTTACCTTAGCAGATGCATTATATTTAATGGTTCTTCGCTCAAAAAAGTTTTGCTGACCTTGGTGCTAAAGCGAAAAATAAATTATTCCTATATCTACCAGACAACAAAACACTCTTCTTCAGTTATAAAATTGATAATAAAAATGAACAACAATTCAATAATTTGTAATGACTTTAATCAGAAGAAGTAATTTGTAACTAAAATGATGAAATAAGGAAGGGGATTTAGTTGTTATGAAAAGTGTTATTTTATGGGTTGTTGAACCAAAAAATCCTAATTTCAGGTAACATGCACTTATGATGTTCCTTGTAATTTTCACCAGAACTGAAAAACTTGTTCCTTTTCTTCTTTTTTTTAAAGATCCAGTACTGTAAATATAACATGAAATACCAGTCAGTAGATCTGTTTCCAAGACTGCTTCTTGATTTGTTGTGAATTATTAAGTGTTATATTGCAGTAAAGGTAAACATAATGTTGATAAATGTCTAGGTTTCAATGTTTCTCATTATTGTTTTTTTTTTAAACTAAGGAGCAGCTCGTGATATTGCCATCAATCTGCTGGAGGCATGTGCTGGAAACTTGGATTTGGCCGTAGGCATGCACATGGACAGTGCTGGTGAAGGACCATCAGGTGCAGAGAGAGATGATGGATTGCAGACTGTTGGTGACGACAGGTGAGCCAGGATGCGTTTCTCGCTGTGATAAAATAAATGATTACAAAATATATGCCTTAAATTCCAGTTCAGAAAACTACAGGGTTTAATACAAGTGAATCTATATTTCAGTGACAGTGTAAGAGCTCCCATACCACAGAGAACAGAATGTTTAGTTGAAGAAGATGCCAACAAAATAGGTAAGTGGTATAGTGAATATTGCCAGCTATCAAATCATTTTAAACCGAGCCTTAGGAAAATTTGGGTTAACTGGCTATGGCCCAAAAAATAATGGCATCGGCAATGCCTGAACTTCCCATCTACTATTGTTAGTTGGCAAAACATGCATTTAAGTAATGGACTTTACAAGAATCCCAATTATTGTTCCCACTAGTTTCGCAACCACACACTTTTTTTATGTCACTCATGGTTCGCATGGTCTTTGATGGTTTGGGAAAAATAAAATAAAATTTACAGGGCCCGGAAAGTTTGGGAAAATTGGCAAAAAACGTCACGGTCTTTGAAAGTTTGGGAAAAATGATTTAAAAAAATTCAAAAGGAAAAAGACCGGTAAAAAAAAATAAATCAAAGAAACAACATGTTTCCAATTTGACTGTGCGCATTTCTTAATGATCCGTAACCATGAAATAAAGAAATTAGTTCATTGGTCGGTAGATTTGTTTAAGCCAATCAAATTACTCTTAACCAGTTAGCTATCAGTCTGGAAAAAGAGAAATAGTCGAGAATTTATTGAATAATTTTCCCGTTCGTGAAAACCGGCGTGATAGGTCTTTAGTAAAATTTTCCATATAGTCTGGAAATTTTTAAATTTGTATAAGATTATAATAAATTTGGCTTTAAATTCGATTAAAACTGACGTTAATCGCCGATCTCGTCTATTTTAGCCTTTCTGTTATCAAAAAAGAACTTTGCCAAATACTAGAGTGGTTTCCCTTAACTGCGCATTTCTACAAGTTTCTAATACCGTACAACTTCGATTGACCAGAAATATTTAATTTCTGTTTACATCGCCGATCAAGAGATGTTCGACTGTTTGGGTAAGTAAAGTGTAAAATATAGTAAATAATTATTTGAACCTAGTTTACAATTGTGATGCAACCATTCAAAATAGAATACTCCTCCCCCAAGCGCTGTTTAAAATGACTAAGCTAAGCGTACTTTGTTATGTCTTATGTCGTAGTCTTCATAAGTTGATTTTTAACTGTTTTACCGTATGCGGGCGACATGTATTTTTTTTTTATTAGCGCTAAGCAGCCTTTAACTTTTAAAAAAAAAAAGACTTTAAGTTCACTTTGCACTTATTATGGAGAAGCTAATTTTTAAAGCTAATATGATCAAGTTATTTTGTGGTGATATTTTTGCGTAGATTAGTTAGTAAGTTTACCACTGACTTCGGAAATTCATTTAAAAGTTAATAAAATAAAACTAAATCTATTTTTGATTGGACTTGATACATGACATGACATCGATTCAGTGAGCCTAACATAACTGTATATAGTTACTTAGTCCTTAGTTATAGTCCTTTTTTATAGCTATGCACTCCCGTGTTCTGTGTATACTTTACTGTATTATACTTTTACTGATAAGCCAGTGTTGTAGGCAAGGTTTTTTTTTTTTTGGGGGGGGGGGGGTTGTTCCTTTGGATACTTCAAAAAAGGGGAGGTGGGGTGGTCAATGATGCATTCCCCTGCGGAAAATCCTGACTGTGCCGTTTAATATCCATATCTTAGTATCTCTTCTGACTCTATATTCCTGTAGTTTAGTACGGGTATAATATAGTCTATGTGGTGTATGCCTTACTCTAAGTTATAAACATAATATTCATATGATAATATTTTTTTCTTCTTCACATTTTATTTTTGTTTCCCTATTCAGGATCATGCCTCAATAAAATAATGCCCAACACACAGTTCCTTTAAAGAATTATGGCATGGTCAGGGCAGATATCATGATAATGATGGAACAAGTCATCATTGCTTCACTATGCTGGAAATATTGATATCAAGTATTCAGGGCGAAAATATTACAAAATGTCAGTCATCTGATGAGACTTCAGCTTTATCACCTATCTTAGGTGTCCATTTCTGCAACTTCTCAGCCAAGCTCCCAATGTATGTGTCAAAATATGAATCCCTCATTGGAGACATTTTATAGACAAGCAAATGGATATTTATGTTCGCGCCTGGGATGTAAATAAAGTTAGTTCATTTCTCCATTTATCTCATTTTCTGAGACATGTCACTGCTGCAAGCCTATCCGAAAAAATCAGTCCGATTATCACAGACCTTGGACACAGGGGATTTTTACAAATGACTATGAATGGCCCTGCAGTGAACTGGACATTTTTCAAAGCCTCTGGAAACAACTGGACAGTCAGGACATTTAAAATATTTTGTCTAGGACATTTCCTCATTGGTCTGTAGCTAATGATTCATCATGATAACGATGATTTAACTATTAATTTAAATAAAAAATTACATTTGAACACTAAGCTGATTCAAGTATATATACCACTGTACATACATGTGCTATATTTCCTAAAAATAAAGGATTTCTCTACATGGATAAGCTGAATATTATTTATATATTGTATATACTTAAGTGTTATAAAGATTTTTGAATCTATGCTATTATTAGGTGAGTTTTTTTTTTTTCTCTCTTTAGTACCTTATATAATAATAAACACGGTAGGTCTTTGAATTTTTAAAAAAAGGTCTTTGAAAGTTTGGGAAAAGTTTGTGAATTTTGGACCTTGAATTCTGTATGAACCCTGGACTCTCTGAACTATATGAATTTTCTAATGTCCCACCCCCTTATTTACAGCAGATCTATAACACTATATTTAAATTTAGTATATTTCTGTAAAACAAAAGAAATACTATGCTCTTGGAACATTTTTAAGAATCTCATTTAGAACACTTATCAGGAATTTTTATTAACGAAATGAGCTCCATTTGGTAGCGCTTGTAACATCATGATATAGAGAATTATTTATTTTTATTTTAGCTCTAAGACAATAAAACTATTATCGTTACATTCAAAATAACACCAACTATAGATTACACTTAAGATGAAAGAATTGTGAACCAATGCTCGAGCTAGCATGCACTAAATATTAAGAGTAACTTGTAAATATAGTGAACCAATATAATGCTCGAGCTAGTATTCACTAGATATCGAGAGTACCTTTTAAAAATATTGAACCAACACAATGCTTAAGCTAGCATTCACAAGATATCAAGAGTATCTTGTAAATTTGTGTCCCCTGATCTCTAAATAGAATCCAATTTGAACCTTTTTCATCTGATAATGTCTTTTTACATTCAAAAAAAAAAAAAAATTAAATTTATTTAGCTGAAGTTTTTATAAATGACTAGCTGACTGTTAATGCTATTCTGATTTATGAACAGGAGCATGGAGAATGAGACGGCCTCGGCGACAGGCTCCATCAGTTTTTGATGGATTCAGAGATTTCCAGGCAGAGGCTTGTAAGTATTTTGAAAATTAAGTTGAAGGATCAAGTACAATACCAATGTCAGCTGCTACATTATACGATGTCTCATTGCAACGCATTTGGAACATTTTTTTTTCAATTCCTTCAATATATTTTTGTGTAACTGCAGGCATGTCCAATTTTGTCTGTCAGCTTTCAACTAAACTTACCTAAATCAGAATTGTAATTGTTGAGACTTAGAAATGTTGTCATGTTCATTTTAATGCAATTGAGTCTTGACACATTTTTGTTTTAACTTCTTTTCATAAAATTAGACCAGCATGATGAATCTTTGAGAGGAAAAAGACCATCAAAGAAGAGAAATTTAGAAGATTTATTTCGACCTCCTGTTGATATCACCATAAAGGGAACATTTCAACATGTAAGTTTACATTACAATTATAGCAAGCAGTTGTTTTTTTTATTTCCATTTCTGATAACCCAGGTCCTCAATCTCTTTGTATGACTTTTTAAAATTGTACTTTTCTTTCATATTAAAGTGGTGTCAATCTTTAATAGACCTTGATTTGCAAAAAATGTCAACATTTTATTTTGAATATATCTATTTATGTGTACAAAGATATGACACCATTGTGAACTAGGTATAGGGAAATACTTTTATTTTAAGAGAATAAAAAATGAAATAGTTTATTAAAATGGAATTTTCATTTTTTGCACAGACAACTATACAAATAAGCAGAGATTTGATACATTGTTGATTTTCAAATGCCAATAATTAATCTAGGCCAGGGATGCAGGTTCAGCCCAAAACAAATGGCTACTTGTCAATGTCCAGAATGTCCAGGAGTTTCCATGTCAACTCCTCAACAGAGATGTATGGAGCAACCAAGATACTCGCAACATCATTAAAGAAAGTTTTCTCTTCTGGCAGGTAATCTGCGTAATAAAACCAAGTTCCTCTTTGATATGTTCTAGTTACTGTAAAGCAGCTAGGAGTGTTAAGTCTATTTGGTATGCAGTGGTGAGAAGGAATAGAAAATTTTTCTGCGAGTTGAAAATGGGCTTAAATATGCTAAGTCCGTCCACCACCTAACATAAAATCTCAATGATGACTTAATACACTTGCAGTAAATAACAAGATTGCCTTTACTGTCTTAAAATAACATCCATTTTTGGGAGAGTAAATACTTGAAATGAATGAGTTGACATTTTATGTGGTTTACAGGTCTATAATGACAGCGAAGAAGGGAAGCGATTCATGCAGTTTTACAAGTTGAACCAATGGCCTTATGTGGCTGTTATTGATCCCTTCACAGGTGGGGTTTATCATTTATTATCTATTTGTTTGTAAATCCATTGTATGTACAATGCCTGTGCAGTCAAAGAAGTAAAAAGTTAATTATGAAAAGAAACTGGAATAGGTTGGTGACAAATAATGATGTCTTCCCAGGTGACCACGGAAGTATTCCCAAATGCCACACCAATTTCAGCTCTTTTTCTTTTCACCACTAATTTAGCTAAGAAGGTCTACCTCGTTCTTAAGTGCAGCTTCGTGTCCTTTCAACTTTGGCTTTGTTAAAACTATCCTCTAATTCATATCTACTGTTCTCACCTAGTAGTATGAAATGTGTTGGTTTAAAGCCTAGTAAACAGCTGTTATCATTGCTGAATTTATTATGCCGTACAATGAGAGCTCTTGTTTCTGAATGTGAGATATGTGCTTGCTTTTGTTGAAAACATGAATAGAAATAAGTTATTGCACGTCAGTGGGGAAGGGGGGTGTAAAATTTCACTATATAATTTATACACCTGTACAGCACATTTTGAAAGAGTACCTTAACTTGCGGTATATGGCATGTGAAATCAAGTTTCCATGGCCCCAATATCCAGATAAATATCATATATACTACATGGGTGGTGGTGGTTGGGGGGGGGGGTTTAAGGGTTGAAGTACAGTTTACGCCATATGTGGTAGTTGCATTTTCAAATTCATTTTGGGCCACTCACCTCAGGCAAAGTAGCTTCATGGAACTGGTTTGGAAAAGGCAAAATGGCTATAATATAAAGGACAAAATGGTCGTAGGAAATCCTGACCTAAATCCTTAATGGCCAAAGATGGAAGTTAGTGGTCACCTTGGTTTGGGAGGACAATCTTCTAGATGAGTTGACACAAAGTGCCCATTAAGATCTGGAATGTCTGCAGATGAACTGCCAAGGATACATTGTTTACTGGGTGCTACTGCCCTCAACAAATATATGGTAGCTGTTAAATACACAAAATTCACTCTATTGTCCGTTGGTCATTTTTAAAAATATCTAAATAAACTTGCCAGTGATCTCCATCTTCCCTGCTTAAACTGCATCACCAAATTGAGAAATTCTTGGAAGCAGATGTTGTGAGCTGTGCTTGTGACAATATTAATTTGTAGGTTAATCAATTGCAGTGATTTCCTGTAGCATTGAGCATTCCAATCTGTATTTACAGGGGAGAATCAAGTTGTGTGGTCAAAGATATCAGATGGGGGTGTCTTCTGTGAGCTAGGTAGGCAGCATTTTCATTTTCATCCTATTAAGCAGCTCTATTTTAACTGGTCATTGGTCAGATTAGAAATCCCTGAACCTGAAGTACCATAAAGTAAACTCAACAAATAAAGCTTTCAAGTGTTGAAGCGAATTGCGATTCAGAGATGCAGAATTCTGGTTAGAATTGCTGCTTTATATGTCTTAATTTCACATTCGCAATAAAAAAAAAAATGTGCATATTCCACCAACCACAACCTTTCTGACCATTTCCAAATTTCATCATAAAATAAATGTTTAACCTAACTTCAACAGAAACAGACAGACGAAATCATTGTTAATATTTTGTTTAGCTTTGAATGTTTAAGTTCAAGACAAATCAATTTAATAATCTTTTTTAAATTGATTTCAACAGACTTATTTCATCACCTGGTGACTTTAATCTGAAATAGCATAGAAAAGGTTAAATCTGGTTTATGTGGTTTTGTTTGGGACATTAAACAATATATTTACTATAGAAGTATTTGTTGTCCGGGTGGTTTAAATTTGAATATTCTTTCCCCGGTATGGGTGTATGTACACTTTTGCCAGGACCTGCTCATGTCTGCTCCAGATAATAAAGAAAAAGAGTAAATTAAAATGAGCTGAATTTATGTTTACTTTTATAGTTGAGTTAATTGATTAATTTTTTGGTATGACAGCTAAAGACTTCCTAGCATCCAATCCAGTACCAGACTCAAGCATTGCTTCCCCTGCAGGCAAAAGACATAAGCGGGTTAGTTGTAATAATGAAGTCTATAGAGATTTCTTTCCTGTTTCATTTTAAACAGTGCATTGATTTTAAATAATAGAAAATTGTCATGCTTTATGAGACATCTAATGATAATGCCATTAGGTGTGTGCATTCAGGCAAACTTTGTATGTGTGACTTTTTTTAATGTCTTCATTATTATGGTTGCAAAAAGGTTTTAAGATTAGATATTTGTTAATAACTCTGTATAGAATTTTAAAAAACATCTTGATATATGAGTGTTGTTTGTTGTTGTTTCAGGAGCCATCTATTGTTGATGCCACAGAACAAGAACAAATGGAAGCAGCTATCCAGGCATCACTGTTTGACATCCAAGCCAAACCAAGCTCCCCTCAGTACGTGCAGGACTCCGACTCGGAGGCAGACCTGTTAGATTCTGACCCAGAGACATTTTCTGATTCAGATGATGTCATTGTGGAATCCCCCCCTGGGTCATCCAATGGTCACATCATCTCCAAATCCAGGCACACCACCTCCAGGCACACCGTGTCAGCCAACAAAGAAAAGTTCATTCCCAAACATGAGCGCTTGAAGCCGTCTCTGACTTCATCCTCCAACAGACCCGCATCATCATCTTTTCATCCTTCACCTTCGTCATCTTCTCAGTCATTGTCAGCCACATCGTCATCACCCATTTCAATGAGTCACCTCTCCAGATTCAGCTCCGCAAATGGTGCAGATGTTAGTATAGTACACCAAGGCCACGGGGGGCCCAGCTCAAGTGCCAGGCCCAATATTTGGGCAGGACCAAATACCTCACACCCCGGGCGTGATAGCCCACTAGAAGTGAACATAGAGAATTCACTGATTGACATGATAGGGAGTCGAGAGGCTGAGGTGTGCACACCAGATGTTTGCACACTGGACGAGTCCCCTTCCAATTCACAACCACCATTAGAATGTGTGGAAGGTGCAGCAGGACAAAGTGCTGATGCTGAAGCAAGTGAAACTTGGAGATTATATTGTGGAGATCCATTGGGTAAATAAGTAAATTCCAGTATTTCTATAAACAATAAAAACAATTTAAAAAAAAAATTTTTTTTAGATTATAAAATATTATTTTGCAGATAAAATATGTTTGATTTCTCAAAGGCATTGACTGTGCATTAAATTTTAAAAATTTCAATGGTAAATTTAAAAAGGTGACATTTTCTTTACTGTGTCGATATTGTATAATATTTCGATATGTTTTTAAATATGTTTCTTGTATAAAATTATCTAAATTTGTGATTAACTCTGACCCTGGCAGATCCAGTTAGCAAGATCATGATAAGATATCCAGAGAACAAGAGAGAACAAATTGTTTTACCTCATTCCTCAAAGTTGAAGGTAACTGCTTAGAATCTGTGTGCATTCAATGGTGAACTGCATTATGTCAAATGTAACAGGCTTTTGAATTAGAGTTTTACTTGAACCAACCTGAGAGAGAACCAACCTCTTGTAATGAGATCTATATAAGAAATGATGACACATTATGTTTTCATTTTTAAATCCAGTTACTGCACCTGCACAGGCCCTGTAAGGTGATGGAAGCTTCACTAGAAATTTTGTCAGCTGTCTTAGCATTCATGTGTCAAAGTTTTCTTAATTGATATTTTTTTTTTAGACCATTTCAAATTTCACAGTGCTTAGGAGCAGTTTTAGCATTTTAAAAGTCTACAGGAACCTCAAAACTTTGAGAGGATTCAGAGAGACACTGCTGCTCAGGTTTTAAAGTAGATGATGGTTTGACTAATAGGAATTTTAACTTGTGAATGAATGCAAAGAAATTGCATTGTTTCTAATATCCTCTCTGTGTTTAAGCAAATATTTTTAGTATATTATGTCATTTTGTAGGCTTCAGTAGAACTGTGTGCCTCTTAAACACTAAATAAATTATTCATTGTGTCATCTTTTAGGCTTTAATAGAACTGTGTGCCACCAAGGGCTATCCCCCTGACAAGTACGAGTTGGTGACAAACTACCCACGTCGCAAGCTCTCCCAGATGGATGCAGGTACAACACTGAAAGATGCCGGCCTTTACCCACAAGAAACTATTTTTGTTCAAGATTTATAACAGGGAAAGTCTATATCGTGTTAATTCTATATCATGTTATGTCTATATCAGTGACATTTTCTTAGCTGTTTCAAAATTTGACACTGTCCGCTCATGGCCATTTAGTTTAAATGTTGACATTCATGTGTCACTTGTTAGGTACCCTTATTGAAAGGATGAAACTTAACTGTTAGATAAACAATTTTTTTATTTAAACAATTTTTTGTTTAATTAGTGGTTGAGGATTCTTGTTTTGAAGGTCATTGTCTAAATAAATTTTAAGTCATAGCCTAAGCAAAAATAGCTATCAAGACAGCCTAGAGAAATTAATAGGTACAGATAACTGCAGAATTAGATCTAAGGGTGTGTCTGGGGCGTGGGCATAATCTCTTCTGTGAAAGTCGGAAATCCAACCCAAAACCAATGTACTGTAAAACCCTAAATTCTTTTTACAAAATGCTGTCATGATACCAATGTTAAAAATGGAAAGGATGCGGGGATGCTTAAAGCTACCCACACTTGATGACGTAAGCCTAAACTTTCTACCAAAAACGGCAGACGTCATCAACTCCCTGTATTCAAACAGCTGCGGAGAGTGTAAACTCTTCACTATGGCCGCAGGCCGAAGGGCACCTGCCCAAATTATCACTTTATTTGAATAATGATTTAAGGTCAAAGTTCACCAATGCACAACATATGTGTACTTTGGGAGCAATCACCAGCAGCATTATTTGCTTGTACTATATAATACATTTAAAACTGCAGATATTGGATGTTAGCACTTGTATAACATTAGTACAACTAGTAAGTCAGCCCTTGCCACTTAAGTCCATGACAATATGAAATGAATACCTTGGTTATAATGGAAGAAATTAACTTTATTTTAACAGGATAGATTCATAAATGTATAACAGTAACTTTTCATTAAATTAATCTTTTAACTTAATTAATCACATTGCAATACATGCTGGTATGTTATAGCAATTTAGGATACAAAAGGTTGACTATGTCATTTAAAATATAATAGAACTCTTGCAATGATTTCCATTTCATTAAACATAAAAATGATTTGAAGAAACTGAAAGGTATTCATGCAAAGAATGAAATTATTTATAGATCTTGATGAAATTGTTTATTAATATAGTAATAGTTTCATCATTTGGTGTTTATTCACCAAAAATATGACTCCTATCATTTAGAGCAGTGGTTCTTAACCTTTTTGGGGGTACCGAACCCCACCAGTTTCATATACGCATTCACCGAATCCTTCTTAATAGGAAAAATAAAATATGATTTTTTATTTTCTGATTTTTTTTTTTGGACATCCGCGGAACCCCTGAGACTAACTCACCGAACCCCTGGGGTTTGATCGAACCCAAGTTAAGAACCACTGATTTAGAGACAAGGAATGTACTACAGCTATCCAATGAATTGATTGCTGATAGTGGAAACTTGGAAATTTAACAAAAATATTTAACTTAATGACAAGGATTAATTGTAAAAATTCAATTTTTAAACTACTATTCAAGTTATTAATGTTTTTTTTCTCATATATTTGACGTTATAAGATGTTATAAAAATGTTTTGTTAAGCAATTTACACAATTTTATACTAGGAAACTGACAATAATAATTTAATCCTTGTCCTCCTAGTAGCGTCTACTTTCTATTTCACCACTTTACCCGTTAACTACTGAAAATGTATAGATTTAATTTTCATGTGTCCTGGTGTACAAGTATTGTTCTTGTGTATCTGGGGCATGGTAGTCGTACTGGTATAAAGTATTTTTGTACTTGTATATCTGGCGGCTGGTAGGTGTCTTAGTGTACTGGTACAAGTATTGTTGTTTTAGTTTTAAATCTCGGGAGTGGGTGTAAAATGGTATTTATATACTCATTACAGTGTTCAATTTTGTTTGTGTTCAAGGAAGAGAATGCTTGAATGGGCTGTTAACAAATATTTGAAATGTTATGATTCACTCACAGGTCATATTTATTACAATGAAGCAAGACTTTTTAAAAATTGTGTCTCAAATAATAAATAAAGAAAATGATCAACTTTTTATTTTGAATTTATTTTAGTGAGGCCATCTCAATGTTGAACAAATAATAAGTTCCTTCCATCAAGTTTGGACTGTACAAATGGTGATAGGATTGGATAAACACTGAGCCATTTTGGTAACATTGTGAAGTTGGTAGCCTCCCCTGAGACAAATAATGCCCCCCTGCTCTTTGGTTATTGAACTTTCCCAAGTCACCACCTAATCTTTGGTGATTGAATGTTCCCAAGTCACCACCTAATCTTTAATGATTGAACTTCATCATGACCTGGTCTTTTGTAATTGAACTTGATTAAGTCACTACTTCCAGCTACCACAAGTCTACATTTTGGGGATTTTGATGATAGGGACAGTCAGCATTGTAAAAATTTGGGATTCTGGAAAGTTTAGCACTTAAAGTTATACATTTTACTGCTCTAAAACTAATCTTCTGACTTTGTTAGCAAATGTCTTAACCTATTTTTAGAAGATCAAGTGCCGAGCTACATTAAAATAATCACTGTGTAGATTTAAAGGAAATTTCGCTTCAGTCCTTTTCACCATCGACTCTACTTTTCCCCCTCCCCTCAACTCGCACACACAATCACAATCAAGGCTTAAAGCTGTGTACATATTCAGTTTAAAAAATTTAATGAAACTGCATTAATACTACTCAATAGTAGTAGAAAAAATATTTACAAATTCAACGTTAGAAGGAATATTAGTTTATTTAGATTTCAGTTATATATCATTTTGTGTGTTGAGGTAGTGTTTTAATTAAATTTTTACACAATTAAAAAAATTTAATAATTCTCTCCATTATTAAATCATTAACTGTCCTCACTTTATTTTTTTTTTACATTTTTTTTTCTTAAAACGGGGAGTTAAGAGTTAAGTACTAGAAAACTATTTAATTGCTGAGTCATTTCCCTTGGATTAGAAAGCTAATAATTGTAAACATTGCACAGACAAACGCGCGAACAGTTGTGCATACATGATACAGGAACAAATTATGCGTACACGGACAATTCAGCACACGGGAAAATTGCTCACATTAACAATGACATATTAAGAAAAAGAAAATAGGCATAAAAATTGTTCAGTTCAATTGGCTCTCGGGATCAAAGGCAGATTGAAAAGAATAAAAGTATTAAAAGGCTACGCGAATAAAAGAAGTTACTTGAAACAAAGAGAATTGAAAAAAAGAATTTAACAACTCCAAATGAAATGCTAAAATATATAGAAAATACCTTAATGATCGCCCACATTAACAAGTGAATCGAACTACTTTCACTCTCAGACTCTACTTCAAACTCTATTGTGAAACGCTGGTTGGATTTCTAGTGTTATTTTTTTTATATTTGTGTTTAAGTTTCAGACTAAACGACATATTTTCGGAGAGATGAATGCAAGGTTAGTTAGTAATAAATTCTATTTAAAATGAAATATTTTAAAATTTAGCTTAGATAAATATTTGTTCACGGGCCGTAAAGTACTGCCAATAAACATTTTAAAAATTTCATGACTAGCACTCTCATTGGAAATTGAACTAATGAGAGATAGGCCTTTGTACAACTATCATTCATTTTTGTCACTTAATTGATAAAAAAAATAAGTTATTTTGGTGCAAATTTGGAGGTCGATGATCCGAAATGTAATATTTTGAATATAGTGTTATATAGCCAATAGCAGTTTATAAGTTATAGTGTATATGGCATTGTCCCGTCTTCGCAAAAGTTGGGCGCAGCTATTGACACTTAAACAAATGGCCGACTAGGCTGATCCTGGAATGGGAGCCTCGTCTGCACTTCTCGCAGGAGAAAATTGACTCCTGACCTTGACCCCTGGTTACAGTTGGCCTTCCGCAGTGTTGTTCTTTTTGTTGCCAGGACTTTGTTTCTCGCATCTGCTGCACGTTTAACCCTTTCACTTCATATGTTGCTGTTTGCCAACTGGAACGATGCTCAACCATGATATCACATTCGTTGATTTCTATGTTGGCTTCCCTCATGCTACTTTTCCCCTCACGTCCATAAATCACAGCCGTGGCCGTCCAGTAAGTCTTGCCCCTTCTGCCAAACCCTCCATTGAGCCGATTCTTTGGAATACGGTCTTCCTCCATCCTCCATACAAGACCTGACCAGCGAAGGTGGTTATTGCTAAGAGCGGAAAACATGGTACCGATACGCATTTTGGCACACCCAAACTCTTGACATGCGTGGAAGGGGCGATTTGCTAACGGTTTCTGGGTGCGATGTTAAGGTGGCATGATCAGCGACCTTGGTCTTTGCATGGATGAGGGGGATATTGAACAGATTGCCATCACATAGGGTATGGATGTACACTCCGTCGTCAAACTCCCTGAAGGAAAACCGAAGAAGCATTGAGAAGGTAATGGAGACGAGTATTGGCGGAAGCCTAGTTTTACTCCGTTGCTGTCTGGGAATGCCTCAAAGACCGCGCCATTGAAGGTTGCTGTGCTGTTCATGTTTTCGTGAAATGACTTTAAGATTGCTAGCAGTCGTGGGTTACAATCAATTTTACACAAGATGCTTATCAGGCCACTCCGGCTTACTAAGTGGAATGCTTTAAATCAATGTATGGAGGCCCATACTGTTCATGACACGTTTGGCATGACAATAGTATCATGTCTTATGGTTAAAAGACCACATCGCAAGCCACATTGGGACACGGGGTAGATGTGAATAGCCAGCGTCTGCAAAAGACACGGGCAAAAGTCTTTCCAACCAAGCCAAGGAGGGAAATTCCTCGATATAATAACTATTACATTTGCTGCTGTATCCTTTATTTTTGTACAATGTATTAAGTTATAGTATTTATATTATCATTACAAATACCGGAGCCTGTAAAACTAAATCAAGAGCCCTCAGGCTAAGGCCCAATGAACTAGTTTAGGAAGTATTTTTAATCCAAGACAAATACTTTTATTTAATTGATTACAAATTAGATTTACAGCTCACTCATTACCATTCAGCAAAGTTACAGATTTTCCCAATAGCACAATTTTTAATTTACAGAAATAGTGTTTTGTACTTTTGCTTTTAGTACTTGTACATAGAGGACGACACCAATAACATCTCATTCATTGCTTCAGAAATAATTATAATTTAGTGAAAAGTTTTATGAATCTTCTTTTCAGCGTACATTTTGAATTACTTATAGTTATAACAAATAAAATACAGGCTTATCGAAATGTGTAACTTTAGGGATGGTAGCCATTAATTAAATTGCCGTAGCCATTAATTAAATTGCCGTAGCCATTAATTAAATTGCCGTAGCCATTAATTAAATTGCCGTAGCCATTAATTAAATTGCCGTAGCCATTAATTAAATTGCCGTAGCCATTAATTAAATTGCCGTAGCCATTAATTAAATTGCCGTAGCCATTAA